CTCTCGGTGCGGCTCTGTGATCATAAAGTACGCTGTCGGCGTCAAAGCTCTCGTCAGCCTCCTCCCCGCAGCGATTAACTACCAACTCACCTGAGGCCCTGCTAGCGAAAAACGCCAAGACGAAGCATGCCGTGGCACACGTCGTGAACATGTTCGATAGAAGACGCATTTGCTGATGGATTCCGATATACAAACGAAGGTGTTGGCCTCGAAGAGAGCGTTGGTCGTCAGAAAGTCAGGTAATCAAGCCCCAGTCTTGGTCCTAATCCTTCAGTAGCAGCAAAAGCGCTGATGCTCCGATTTCTCGTCGGAAAATTGGAGACAATTTCCAGGTGGTGGTGGTGTTGCGGAAGAAACGATGGGGAGTTTTCTTCTGAGACCTTTGCTGGAGGAAGAGCGCCCGAGGCTGTGATGGCTGATGAACGGTGGCAGATGGACGTTGGGGGCAAGTTACGACTGCCTCAATTGACTGACGGTGCCCGCTTCAAACCCAAATTGCTCGACAGCTGGCGCACGTGACTAAGGCACATCCACACCGCGTGGGATGTGGCTGTGTGGAAAGTACTTTTCAGTCCAGTTTTCTTCCCACTTCCTGCCTTCCGCCCTGACCTTGCTGGCCGAAGCCGATTTTCTTTCATTTTTGCTTCTCATATACCCAAATACCTTTTAGAAAAGGATGGCTTAACTGGAATACGAATCCGCTCAATTTGTCTCAGAACCATGTCCATTTATGGATCAAGCTACCTCGGCACGAATGCTTATACCTGAGACCTCCCCTGGAAGGATTTTGCCACGGCTGCGAAACGTGCTCATCTTGCCTGCCTCACGGAGCTGCGATATTCTGAGATCAAGAGTTATGCTCACTGTTCAGACCACCCTGGATCTACTGCTGTATTCTTTGCACCAGCCATTTGCAGCTCATTTAGTTCGCCTTGGCTTGAGAAAGTGGTGTTCAACGTCGTACTCTCACGCGTTAGGGCACTTGATATGCGTGCGGTCGATTAGCAAGTACTTTACCATGCGTTTGATAGTAATTAGTTGGTGAGGCTGCAGAAGGTTCGATTCGCAGCAGACGGCTCGGCGAATCGAAAAGCACTGACTTCTCTGCTGGCCCTCAAGTTGCTTGTTTGCCATTCTCGAGACACCTTGCATATGGATCAACAACACACCTAGGTAAAATTATAAATCCATATCAGTATTGTCTCAATATTTATACTCAATCGTTATCGCTGTCTTGAATGTATTAAAAAAATTATTTCGTCTCTACGGAGTAGGAATCGAAGAGTCGAAAATCAATTTTGGTTCTCTATACGTGCCGTCAACGGCATATACAATAAGTCGCTCAAGAAGAGGAAGAGCTGATGCAGTCCTTTTCACCACATTCTACACATTGATTAGAAATAGGCCTCAATAGATTGACAAAGAAAGTCTCACCAAACCATTCGTACCCTCGATATTTGAAACGGGACAGAAGTCCAAAGTTACAGCGAGCTCCTTCAATCGTTGACACGATTTAAAGGCAGGAGATAGAGAGTCTGAAAAGCACCAAGAACCAGGCGCTGCGGGACGTAATTCCAGGCTTTCTAGACTTTCGCAATGCTTTGGCAGGACCTGTGCGTAGAAATCACTAGCAAATTGTTTGTAATTTCTTCGCATCTGATATGAGCGGCGGATATTCGACACCGAAATCCTTTTCAGACCCACGTACGATGTCAGATAGTCAATTAATGACGAACTAATGTGAGTGATGTTGACATGAATTTCTTCGAGATGGATATGCTCTGTTTGAAAGCAGTGCCATGTCGAGCCAATTAGTGAATCATATTCATGATAACATACGTTGAAGGACTTTAAGGATCGAAAGTGCCGTATAATTTTGTCGTCAAAGAAAACACGCAGGCATCGGCCATTGAGATGTGTTATAGGGAGGATGATCTCTGCGTGGATTCTTAATAAAAACTTCTGCAGACTCGGCGAATATTCGTCCTGAGGAAATGTCCCAATGTCTATATCGAGGTGGTCTAATGCTGGACTGGCAGCTATAATCCCTGCTATCTGGTCTTTGACCGCATGTGAGTCACGATATCCCGAGACTGTGAGCTTTTTCAAGTCGTAAACGCAATCTAACGACAGATCACCTGAGAATCCACCGTGGAAGTTCAATGTGAAGTGCTTAAAGCCAGTTAACGTCTTCAAAAAGTCCTGAACAGTGTCATTCACCCACTTCGGGTCTTGAAAGGACGTGCACCAGCTATTATCAATTCAATACTACAGCAGGAAAGGTAAGATAAATACGCACGTTACTGACTGAGTATTTGTGAGGGAAGCGAGTGCTAGAGAAAGGTACCCTCTAAGTTGCCTTTCGACTACGATATCTTCTGAAGTGGGCGGAGGGATGTATGGCCAGAAAAATCTATTTTGGGTCTCACGGGACTTTGGATCATGAGCAGGAGCTAAGCAGCGGATCTCGAGGTGATGTACATATGTCCCAACGCGCGTAGATTTAGTCGCGTATGCTTGGAGCTGATCGATACTAGCTTTGGCTGTATTTCGGTTGAGATTGATGACGAGCGTAGAGAGAGCCATAGCTTCAAGAGCATTATTAAGCTGACGACAGACTGTCCGAAGCTCTCTGTTCTGACTCCCATCTAGCTATTGAAATATATTATCAACCTAACTGATTGATTGAGGAGTTCATGAATCCGGTACCTTGTAACCTATTTCATGAAGAAGTTCTGGTGCCAGTGAAAGGAGAGTAACCATGGTATGGTAGTCTGTGTAGAAAGAGAGAGTCTTTCGGTGCTTATATTGAGCAGCATAAAATCGAGACGAGTGTATATGCAGTAGAAGGCCCGAATGTTTCAGTTGAAGTCTTATTTTTCCCATCCAGTCTGGGATGATGACATGGCCAATCAGCGAATCAAAATGATTCCACGTAAGAGTAACCAAAACACGATCCCATCCATATTTTTCAGCATTTGATTAGCTAATTATTCGATATTTTAAAGTTTTAAAAAACCAATAAATTGTACATGAACGAATGAAGGAAGTAAGACAAGGGTAATTGCTCGACAGTTGGCGCACGTGACATGGGCACATCTTCACCGCGTGGGATGTGGCTGTGCGGAAAGTACTTTTTCAGTCGAGTCTTCTTCCTACTTTCTGCTTTCCGCCCGGCCCTTCCTGGCCAAAACCAATTTTCTTCATTTTGCCACTCACGTATCCAAATACCTCTTAGAAAAAGGTTGTTTACCTGGTGGATGAATCGATATGGTTTGTCTCAAACCGAGCTACCTCGGCCCGAATGCCACACCTGAGAAGATGAAACGTTAACACAAGGAGTCACACGATATAACAAGCACTCGCCTGAAGCTCTCCCGATTCTAATCACAGAAGGACTGGCATAAGCGTTCGCAATATGCAACCCTCTAGATCCATGCTTCTTGTAGTATTATCCAGGCAAAAGACCTCAATATTTCCGCGATCCTGTGAGGTTCGTCTTAAGCCTTACAAGTCCTCCGAGATCTGGAATGTTGTTGCTCTAGAGCAATTTACCATCATGATCTCAAAGCACAAAAGATGATCGTAGCCTCTTAAAGGATCTCTGAACAGCTGTCTTCTGATGTGTATTATATATCATCTTCCTCAGCAAGAGTATGCTAATTCTGAAACTCAGAACGCACACACAGGGACAAGAAGCTACCAGTATCATCCCAAACATGTGGCCTTCAGGCGCTCGGAACCCTTCTCTACTCAACGGTAACAGATGACGACTTTCCACGGGCTATTACAGCCACTGACGATCAATCCCCTCGTGCATACCAAACCACAACCTCATAAACAATTTAAACAATTCTCGAAATCCACATCTTTAATCAATCTGGTCAAGTTAAGAGAGTCTATACTTCTCCCTGAGACAGATTTTCTAGTGTGTCTCGTAAATCCTTTGCCTAAATGCACACATAAAGAAGAAATTAATATGTTCGAAAGTTGGTTTTCAAGTTCTAATATATTTTAGTCAATACAACTTCAAGCATTGGATTACATGTACATGTATTATATCAACTATAATTCCAATGTATTAATTTTCTTTTACTATATGTACATCGCTCATGATCAATGTCATTTCAATACTCCAGTCGAAATCATGATGATTCTCATAAAGCCAACGATAACTCGAGATATTGACACTAGTGAAATAATGTAAACATGATGCTGTAAATGCCTTATCTTCCCTTAAAATTAAATACTTCTTACTTCATAAGTACACGAGTTGAGGCCCAGTTGCACTATTGGTGTTTTGCGCTGATCATAATCGTTTACTGACTCGTCTCGGATGGGATTTTGTCTGAGACATGACAGTTATCATCTCGAAAAATGTGCTGGTGTCGGAAGCTTCAGCAATGCCTATCTGGCGACTGAAATCAAAAGCTCTGAATGTGTTGTCGCTGTGAAACACATACCTTGGCCACAGGTGAGTATTAAGGTATAACAAAAGTATACGATACATGTCCACAATGAGAAGCATTTACATTCTATGGCATCCCAAAATCATTCAAATGTAGTCAGTCTGCATACCAGCCTCCGTAGAGCGGCATCCCATATTTATTATGATGGGCTGCTGTGGTGGAGACGGCCTCTTTCATATGCTGCGCAGAGACCAGTCCTATAACAGTGACGCATTTATAAAGGCTACCACACTTGAAATTTTGGGTACTGTACAACACTGGTATTTGCTGGGGGTCTATACCATGATATCAACCTTGAAAACATACTCTTCTATCAAGGCCATGGATATTACCCAACTTTGGATTCACTAATTCCAGAACACAGAGGCTGTTAGTTTGGTACCGAATTAGAATGATATCTCAATGTAAATTTTCTTTGAATGGGATTATTATTAGACCATACTACGCTTCAAAAAATGTAATAATTTTACAATGCAGTTTAAAATTACATCCAGTGTCCGCTAAAAAGGAGAACAATTTTATACTCCAGATTGCATCAAGAGGGAATTGAACCCTCGGCGGGTCGAATATTACAAGAGAATTGGCAACGACCCAGGTCACCACTACCCCATTGATGCATATGATGGTGAATATTTATTTACAAGCCATGTGACTCCCTTTGTTTCTCTACTACATATTCAACAATGCTAGTAGTAATTGTAAACTTTCTTAATCCCAATACTTATTATTATTCTACAGAAGCTTTCTATCAAAGTGCAATTAAGTCATGATTCGTTGAGCTTTGCATGCAGAGTTTGAAAATTGCCAATGACTAACACACAACAATAACATATTTGTCAAACTTACAACCATTTGTGAAATGATAGACCAATTTGACCGCTGTTCATCTTCAGCAAGATAAATATTTCTGGAGCTCGGCAGGACCACATAGCGGCCGGCGCCCCACCAGAAGTGGAGCGATTACAGGATACATCCCAAAAAGGGCCTCGCCGGCTTCTATTTGGTCCTACCGAGCTCCAAGAGCAAATATCTTGCTATCAGTCCGCAAATGGCTGTAAAGTTAGAGTCAGGTTAACAGAAAAATGCCAAATACAACCATATAGTATTGGGGTAGTGTCAAAGGCACAACAAAGGCAAGTCAACTTTGAGTCAATTCACGACTTGGGATGAATGGCTCAAAACTTCAGAATAAGGATTCAATTGATAAAAACCCAGTCCTTATTCAAGCTCAATATGAGTAGGTAACACATATTACTAAAATAGAGAAATATAGCAAACAAACAAGTTCACCTAAATGCTACAGAGTCTATTATAATAACTATTGATGAAGATGCCACCCCTCAACCACTGGAGAATTCTGAAGTAGTCATGGTCATCCAAAATCTCTTCCCAATTTTGATTGGTATTGCCACCGACTCGGATGAATTCATTCATCTCAGTATCTAAGGCATTTTACATAGACAATGAATTGCGGTCATACTATATCTAGAAGTAATTAAATTATCAATTTACTGTTCATGTGCATTTTCAATGCTTTCACCAGAATCTATGACATCTGAATAGCGATGGATGGGTATGCCCATCATGCTGCAATAGCCTCCACCAGTTGTGACACCCTCTACATTGAGAACTGAGTTGGACATTCCCTTTCCAAACCATCCTGTCACACTACCCGAAGACCAAGATCCTGCTACACGCATGAGCTGTGTAAGCTGCTCAGTAATCTGGGGGTCAATATCACCTGTGAACTTAAACCTTCCACCACCAATGCTGTGGAAAGTACTATCAATTTTCTCAGCCTGGTTTGTATTGCTCAGCATCTCGACGGAGAATTTAACCGTGCAATGGGTACTTGTGGCTGGTGGCGTAGGGGTAGATATAACAGAAGATGGCGGTACATATGGCAGCGAAGCACTTGACTCGCCAGTTACTTGGAAGAAGTCATCCATCTCACAGTCCAGGTCATTCTGGATAGATGATGAATCGCTGTCATAATCTAGCAGGAATTAAAGTATTAAAGTACCGTTCAGGTGCTGTTTAAATTTTCTCACCAGAATCTATGACGTCTGAATCATGATGGCTAGGCATGCTGAAGGTGTAACAACTTCCAGCAGTAGTTTCAAAAACAGCTCCGTTGATAACTGAGTTAGACATTCCCTCGCCAAATGAGGTGACCACCCTACCCGCAGACACAGACGCAGACACCGGCAAATCCATAAGCTGTGTAATTTGCTCGGCCATCTGGGGGGTGATATTACCTGTGAACTCATACACAGAACCAGCAGTACAGCGGAAATTACCACCATTTATCACAACTTGGCTTGCATTCCTCAGCATGTGGACCCTGGCATCTATGGGAAGGGCATCCACAGCTGGTGGAGTAGGGGTAGTTATAACTGGGGATGGCGCTACATATGGCAGCGAAGCATTTGACCCTGAATTGGTCTCCGGAGTGAATTCATCTTCCGAAATATATTCGAAATCGGATTCAGTGTCGGATCCATTGGACAGTGCATGAGAGGACATAATGAATATGTTAAGTTGCAATTGAAGGTGGTAGTGATAGTAAATAGAGCTGAGGTTGAGTGTTGAAGAAGGGGAGAAATACAGCTATATAAATGTATTGCCATTAACGCCTGCGCCACAAGAGAACAAGACTATTATGTGGCCACAAATACAAGGACAGCTACTCGATGTATAGAATTCGTTGCTGTTGCCGCATAACAAAAGCACAGAACTGTATTATATAAATCAGATTCTTATTCTGCATTTGTTTGTAAGGCAACCAGGTCTCGAATTCGAACATTACGATCCAAATTGCAACCCAAATTGCCAAACGAGAACATAGTCATAATTTGAACTTGATCCAGTCAATGATCTTCCACCCACCGACCATGATGGAGATGTAGCATCATGCGCTACCTATTGCAGTAACAAGAGTGGTCATAAACAAATACAGCAGTGCGTATAAGAATTGCCACAGTTATTTATTTATCAAAACACACTGTAAACAGGGTGCGTGTTATAAAGGCTTGTCACATGGTATGTGTAGTCGCTATAGATCAGACTTGTAACCGGTAACCGGTGGCTTCTAAACTGACATTCGCTGAGGAATATTGAACCGATATTAACTGCTTGAGCATATCAATATTCACCAGTGATACGCAGCCCATGATTATTGATGGATGCTTGTCCGTATTCCAAACGCAGTGCGAGACAATGAAAAATAGAACGCTAACCGAGTGTGTGAGTGGTCGAGACAGATCACCTCGAAACACAGACATTTTTCATGCAAATTTCCAGCCGCGCAACAGTTAGACTCTCAAATACTCGTAGATAATCTAAATATTGTATCTACGTAACTTGACTAATGAAACAGTGCCACTAAAATGCAAGTACAACTGCGGGCGGAATCCAAATCGTGCTCGCTCGTAATCTTAACGCTCGCATTCCAACAGTACTCTTATAGATAATGTATTAGTAATTAAGGCCTCATGCTTACTCATGAGCCTACTGATCAAGTATGTACGAATATCGCAGTATATTCTAGATTAATTTGTACTGTAGTATACAAGCCCTCGAATTGAGGGCATACAGAATTAATCCTATCTTTAGAAAATTAATACGCTGCACTCAAAAACAAGATTATGAAAATCCTCGAGCCCGATATCTTCTTCTATAGTCCTCACCAAGGATACCACAAGAGTATAGATGATTCTATCGAACGAATTGAACCCCACCATGCCGGCAATTTTCACATAGGTAAAATCACAAGTATCCAACTTGGAGAATCAGCCCGCTATCTAAGCAGTCTTCTCCATAGAGAACTCGATAGTTGTGCGGCTAACAAAATGTTAATGATTGATCTCGAGCCAAATGGATCATGTATGCTACATTTGCAAGAACAGAATCGGCGTTCCATTTCGTAAAGAAGTTGTCTCTTTGGAGCTCTTAGTGCGGGAATCCATTAGAGTAGCTTCGTCAGGAATCTTCTCAAACCAATTTTGGCCGGGACATATACAACACGCTCGTGACATAATAAAAGACTGTGGTGGCATAAAATCCCGCATGTTCTGTACGAGGCCTAAGTGGATCAAACATAGACTTCAAAGTATAGCTATTGGCTGGATATATTGTAGGAACGCCTATATTTATTTGAAGAGGAGTATCATTCCTACTTTTACTATGATGCTTATATGGTGCATATAGGAATAGTTAATTATTTGAATGGAAGTGCTTCTGTGGCGCTGGATGCTGCTATAAATTGAGGGTACAAAGCATACTGACATCAGTCAGGAGGGATATCATCTGATTCACAAGATGATAGTATCGGAATGGCGTTCCTTCATAACTATGTAGTTTGTGTATAAAAGTTCGCTACTCGTCGCGTCGTATCAATAACCTGTCCACCATTCCCAAAAGTGTACTGAAAAACATAAAATAGTATCGAATTATATCATGAACGTAAACATGTATGTCGTTGCTGGCGCTGGGGACTTATTGGTATTTAACTGCTAACCTCAAACAATTACAGCGGCCTGTCGACAAATGGTGTAAGTGTAGGGGCAAAAATCGTTAACCATCGTGTGGGTGGTTGGCTTCCTCTAGACCATCGTGTTCTTGAAGCATGGCTCTCCAAAAAAATAGCACAGGTTGAACAGCGTGGTGGACACAAGAAGGCATATTTACATCCTGTCATACAGGAATTCCAGGATTTCATCGAAAACACTCCCGATATCCACTTGGGCTTTCAGCAGATGTTCTTCCAAGTTCCTAACAAGCCTCCATATAATAAAGATCCAACTGGAAAGCCTCAGGTATTCATATTCAATGGTCAAGGAGCATTTTTGAAACTCACGTATGCATACGAATACATTGATAGGTCCGGGACTATAAAGTGATGCTCTCGCTGTTTGATCTCATTCTCAGCGAAACTCCATGCTTCGAAAACAATGATTTGGTTGGGTTCCCAATCAATGCTATTCTTGATTGGCCTATGGGAACTCCGGCAGGGTTCAGCATGTTCACCAATTCCAGAGTTAACGCCCAGTTTAAGAAAATGTTCGATGTTTGGGCGACCTTCCTCTCCTCTCCCGCTTCTTGTTACGTCCTCACCACGAAAGACGATGGGTGGTTTGGACCCTCGGCGAGCAAAGCTATGCCAGATTTCGTACAGACGTTTGTATGCAATCCTGAAATGCCTTACTATGGGTTCACGTCCTGGGATGACTTTTTCACGCGCCGTTTTAATTCCGGAGTTCGCCCCGTCGAATTCCCCAATAACAATGAAATCATTAACAGCGCCTGCGAATCGACAGTATATTGCATCGCGCACAACATTAGCGCCACGGATAGCTTCTTGTTGAAAGGAAAACCATACTCTCTTCCCTCCATGATGAACAACGACTCTCTTGTTCTGCAGTTCATCGGTGGTACCATCTACCAGGCCTTCCTGAGCGCGACGAAGTATCACCGCTGGCATAGTCCCGTAAACGGCGTGGTGTCCAAGATTGTTACAGTCCCTGGCACCTATTATGCCGAGTCACCTGCCATGGGATTTGCTGATCCAGAGGGTCCAGATGCCTCTGCTCCCAATCGTTCCCAGTCATTCATCACC